TGGTGGCTGTGCCCGCAGGTGCCGGGCGCCATGGCCCCCCCCAAGGACATCATGACCAACTCGCACGCCAAGTCCATCCTCAACGCCATGAACGCCCTGCGGAAGAGCAACACGCTCTGCGACGTCACCCTCCGCGTGGAGCAAAACCCGGCCCACCGCATCGTCCTGGCTGCCTGCAGTGACTACTTCTGCGCCATGTTCACCAGCGAGGTCGGTGCGCCCCGAGATCGCGGGCTGCCGCCGGCCCTGGGTGCTCTGTGGGTGGAGGAGGCAGGACCGCCCAACGCTTGGGCTGCTCTCAGTCAAGCTGCTCAGCAGCTGGGCCTGGATCCCCTCGTGGTGGTCCAGGATCCTCCCCTGGTGATCCTGGAGCCTTCTGGATCCCCTCGTGGTGGCCCTGGATCCCCCACGGTGGCTCAAGATCCCCCCATGGGTCTCTGTGGTGGCCCAGGATCCCCTCATGGTGGGTCTGGAGCCCTCTGGATCCTCTCCTGGTGGCCCAGGATCCCCTAGTGGTGATGGTCTCCTCATGGTGGCCCCAGAGCCCTTTATCATGGCATGGTGGGAGTTAGAGGCTGCAGTTGGGACCGTGGTCCTGAATCATTGTCTGCTGCGTGACCAGCCTGTGCACCGGAGAGCTGCCAGGCTGAGCTGGCAAACAGGAAGGCTGTGGTACATTTACTGATTTTTCTAGCAGTGATTTATGGTCTTCATGCTTCTGGGCATCTTTCTCGCTGAGGGTACCAGCCCTAGTGCAAAGCTGTGTGAGCCATGGTGTGCGCCTTAGACCAGGTGGTGAATTAAGGCAGCCCTTTAAAACTGAAATGGAGGGTATTTAACTCATGTTCTTGTCTCTGTTTTGCACTGGCTGATCCACTGGTACGTGTTGGGTTGTGCTGTTGCTCTTGTGAAGAGGATGTAACCTCTAGCACTGGGGTTGAGGGGGGAATCCCAGTTGCTGTACTCGGCAAATCCCACTTGTGAGGACCTTTGCTCTCGCAGTACTTACTGTATTGACTTGCACTACCTGCATGCTATTTTTTTGAAATCACTGAAAGGTAATATTTGAGCTAAAGCTAGCACTCGTTCATATGTTAAATATGAGGTGCTTTGCCTGGCTTTGTCTTTTATAAGTTTGAATGAATCTTTGTGGCTTTTTCTTGTAGAAGATGCTTTCCTTATCCTAGCAACTTCCCCATTAGCAGGGAGAAAAATGACTAAGTAGCTCAAAGGTCCTAAAGACCTCCCTAGCCCAGTAGTCCTTGCAGGAGAGAATCATTTTCTTCTTTGTTTTACCCAGCAATGAACACTGTTGGCAGAGCTGTCTGTGTGCCTACTTCTCTTTCTTTCAGTGCTGTGTCAGGTGAGCACGTGTCTTAATTTTTATAGTCCTGTGCAAAGCAACCAAAAAAAGATGTATGTGGACTGACCACATAAGAATATGTTTTCTGTCCATGTCTTCATGAAATTTGTAAATTTGTTAGGTTTATGCTTTTTCTCTGCATAAAGGAAATGTAATTTAAAAACAAAAAGTACACAAAGCAAATTCAGTCCCTGGAGGCTGAAGTTCTCTGTTTACCAATAGCTTCAATGTACACAGCAGTATGGCAGACTGTCTCTGCTTCTTTGTGTTTGCCACTCTGTCAATGCCTTTGACTTCTTGGATGCTATCTAGGCAGTCCGATCGCTCTGTGTGCAACATTCTTTGTGGCTGGACGTTTTTTGTGGCTGCTAACAAAGGCTGAGGATTGGTATACTTTGGAGCTAAGCTGAGATCATCTCTCCTTCCTTCTTTATACTCTCATTTTAACTGCAACATTGTAGTGACCTTAATTCATAGATGTAATTCTTCCTAGAAAAATAAGTGCATCCAGTGCCCAGTGGGCATGATTGCTTGATCTCTCATGCTCCCAAATTGCCGCTGCTTTAAGGGTTTTACTTCTTTTGCTTAGTTTGTATTTCTTCCAAATTTGCTTTTTCGTATGGAAACCCCAAAATGACAAACCTGCCAAGTGGCACACACAATTACTGAGTGTTTGTGGGAGAGCGTTCTTTCCAGGAAATGACAGCTTGGTAAGCCTCAAAGTGGACCTGCTTCCTATGCGTGTCAATGACAAGTATGTTGGTGAGTGTAAAGGGACAGCATTTGGTTGCGCTCCAAACACTTGTGGGTACAGAGTGTTTTGGCCATGGCTGTAACTTGAGTGAACTCAAAATGCCGGATTGCATAATGGACTAACAGTCTCTGCGAGGGCTTCCTTTGTGTTTCATCGCTCGCCTCCTGTGAATTTGGGGACTGCTTGGCTAGCTGTAATGTGTGGCTTTTGTCAGACTTGGGCTACACAAGGTGTTGTTCGGAACTGAGCCCTGGGTTATGCCCACTGTCATTCATGATGCTACATCTGTGCGTGGCCAGTGTAGCACTGAGACTGTCATCAGAGATTATCATCATAAAGAGCTGCGTTTGCCAATCCCTGTGTCTCTAGTTTCCTTCCTTCTCTCACTTCTGACTTTAACATCTACTTTAAAAAGTTCTCAATCTTACTCAGTATTAATTTCTTCCCATTTTCTGTTCCCCTTTTCCAGAATGAGGAGAAGCCACTGATCACCTGTTGAACCCCTGGCTTTTGACAACACTTTTTTTCTGCCCCTGTGCTGAGTAGTGTGGGAAAACTGAAACGCCCATCAGTTTTACCTACAGGGTTCTTCCTTGTAGTGAAAATTGAAGAGCAGTCTTAGCAAATGCTCCCCTGGATCCTAGTTTTGCACTGGCATTTCTGTCTTTCTTTGGACAAGTTAGTCTAACTCAGGATGTGTTAAGAGTTGATCATTGGCTCCACCTCAAAAAGAAACTAGTCTGTCCTCTCTTGGAGGGTATCTTCTAGAAATTGAAGGGGTTTTTTCCCCTAGAATGTGGAGAAATATTCTTCTTACTCGGAAAATAAACAGCTTCTGTTTCCAGGTTCTTATGTGGTCATCTTCACTGTACTGTGAACACCTTCCAGAATGCAGTGAGCCACGTATTAGCACTGTCATGCCAGCATTTCTTTTCCTCTATAGGTGAGAAGAAATTGCAGGTGTTTATTACAGTACGCCTTTGTGTATCTGCATTAGTAAAGGCAAAAACAAGAAGTGGCCTTGGATAAGAAAGTGCTTCCAAAATTTTAGGCCCATTCTCCTGCAGAGTGAGTTGCATGATTTATGGATGGGATTTATGAGAGACAGCAACATTATGTTTCACAACAGAGCTATGACTTGCAGCCCCTGCCTTAAGGCTTTTAGCAACTTAGGCATCCTGGGGTAAAACTCCTGATGCCTCAAGTGACTCTCCTTAACTATGGGAATGTGTTTTCCTGGATGCTCCGGTTGATTTCTGGATCTATACTGCAGCATACTTTTTATGACGTGTTAGAAATGTGCTTGTATTAGGGAGTATCAGTCCCTTATAGCTTTACTTCCTGATGGTTAACAGAACTCTGATGTTAAACTAATCTGAAAGTCTAACAGCAGAGATGCAGAGATATGTCTTGTACCACTAAACACCTGCAAAAGGAAAGCTGCTTGTACTCTGTTTTGATTAGCATTGTATGACCATAATTTTGCACTGCTTCTGAGTCCAAATATGTGGATGTATTGATAAAAGAGGGACTCTCTCTGCCCCAACAGCACTAAGCACTGTATACAGTCCTTAACACTGCATATGCAGTCTGGAGCTACAGCTCAGACTCTTCATGGGATGTTCAGAATCAAATTGTGTCTGCTCTGAGATCCTTCTTTAAGGTATGATGCTAGGATCCCAAGTTATTCTGCATCACATACATTGTGTGAAGTTACTTGAAATATTTTCTTCCTTCCAAGCAATCTTAGCACGTGAGTAAAGTGTGAGCCAAATGACAACTAAGTAGTGGAGTGTAGCAGAAGTACAAGGGAAGCAGGAGGTGCTCATCTCTATAGTATTAGTGTTGTCCCCATGGTTTGTGTTTTGGTCAACAGTATAAAGAGAGTATGTGCATGTCGATTATTGATTATTGAATATCGGTTGTGGGGACAGGAGCTTCTTTACCAGCTCCAGGCGAATCTGTGAAGAACAGATGTCTACAGCTTCTACCTGATGCAGTATAATACATTAACAGGAGATCTGGTGCCCTTGTAAAGTCCTGTCAATAGATGTTTGTAACTTCTTATCCTTTTTCTTCCAAGTATGTATGGTCTACATCTCCATTTGCTTGTTGGAATCATATGAACATCTTGTCTGACCAGTTCTGACCTTTGGTAACATTCTGTGTCCTTTATCTGTTGTACCAAAGAGCTTAGTCTTGTTTTGGGAATGTTTTGTCTAGCCCAAGTTAGGAACTCATTTTATCTTCTAAATGCAATGCATGGCCTGTCATACAGCAGGTCAGACAAGGTAATTTGCTGTTCCTTTCTGACTCTGGATGCCATAAAGTTTGTTCACTGTGTCGACAGACTTGAAAGGCCTCTTCCCTCAAATTACTTCCAGTATCACCATTACCTCCTATGTTTCTCTACTGTGAAGTGTATCTCTCTGCATCATAGAAATGGCTCAGTCTTAGCAGAAATGTTTCTTCCCTTCTGCTGTGTCATTGAAAGCCTCTGCAGGAATATCCTTGACTGCTCTTATTTTCTCTACTTCTGTATTACCTCCTTTTTCCCCAACTGTGGCAGATTCTAAGCCAAGCGATCATGCTTTCTGTTCACTGAATCTCTGCTCAATCTGTCTGTAACCAACTTCAGGCTCATTCTTGGCAAGAAAAGTCATGGGATTTCATCTGAATCGTGCTTGCACTGATACTGTCTACTACAAAAGTCATGGGAAAAAAGGTTGGTTTTGCAGCGTGCTGCATGGAGACATCCTTCTGTTGAGGTCCGTTCATGCTGATGAGCTTGCAGCTGTGTGCAGGGTGTGATTAGTGAGTCCACCTGCTAGCCCATTGTTCATGAATCATCAGATGCTGTGCTAGCAGCTTCGTGATGGATGCATTGAACCACAAAGCTGTTGCTTTGTGAAACATAAGCTCAGTTTTGTACCTATAGAGGTGCAAATTTGGTGGATTCACAGAATTTACTGTTCCCAAAGACTGACTGTTGAGGGGGTCAGATTTCTTGGAAAAAATAATTATTCCAAAATTATGTATCTTAGAGGTGATAAAATGGTCAGCGGACAAAGTCAGGATTGTGTAAGTACCATTATTGTATGTACTATCATTTTACTTTGAAATGTTTAAGCTAAACCTACATTTAACCTTTAACTCTGAACTTTCTGGCCTATAAATAGCCATTCTTTTTAGGAACCTTCACCATAAGTTTGCAGAATGAATCAGGAATTGAACAGTTAGGAAAGATTTTTATTTGGTTTGGTTTTAGAGCAGAGTGGAGAGGTGGGGACTCCATGTAAATTGCAGTATGTCATACACATCCAGCCCAGAGAGGAATCCCCCTGGGCTGTTCCTTGTAATAAAGCTTGGAGTTACTGCATGGAGAAAGAGTTTAGTTGTCTTGCACAAACGACACATGTAATTTCTGCTATCTGTAATCTCAGCTTGCTCATTTTACAATGCAGTTTGACTGTCCTCCCAATCCATAATGGACTTTGTCTCTTTTACTCACCCTGTAAGTGAATTCAAAATCCTTCCCCTTATTCTTTCAGTGAGCACAAGAAGAGAAAGGACAAATCTCTGTTGAAACCTCTCTGACAGATCACATTTTAAAAAACTGCTGAGCACTGCTGGCTTTTTGATCACATTACTGAAAAATAAGCCTTTGTCTCCCTTCTAATTTACAGCTCTCAGAGAAAGATAAACCCTATGTAGATATCCAGGGACTGACAGCCTCCACCATGGAAATCCTGCTAGACTTTGTATACACAGAAACTGTTCACGTGACAGTAGAAAACGTCCAAGAATTGCTCCCAGCGGCATGTCTGCTTCAGCTGAAAGGTAATTGCCACGTATCAGCACAAATTGCACAATTGCTGCTGTTCAGAGATTTGGTTTGTCTGACCTTCTGTAAATGGAAGACAGATTGTGGGAGGCATGATATTTATAAGTACTTATGTCAAAATTCTTATGTGTCTTGTGCACTGTGGTCTCATTGGTGGAGGAACTGACTTGGGTGGGGAAAAAAGATGATAAACCAGGTTATTGTTCCATGCTTTGGGCTACTGGATTTCTGCGTGATAATTCACAAGAGGAATTGTGGGCTGTATAGCACATAAATGTTACAGCTCAGTCAACTTACAATAATAAGCAAATCCTAGATATCATTTGACATGCCATCATAGTATGTCTGGGTCATTAACAAACTGGTTGATGTCATTGCACGTGCACCTATAGAGCTATCCCAGGCAATTATCCCAAATCCCAGGCAACTATCAAAAAGACATTGGAGAAAACCTAGAAATCTGGTAGCCATATCCACTAGCATATACATTTTTTGTTTATAATCCATGAAGCTGAATACAACTCACATTTGAGTCTTTTCCTAGTATCAGATTTATTTAATTTTTGCATTTAAATAGAATAGCCAGAGATCAAAACAGCCCAAACACCTGATCTACTGTTTAGTGTTTTCACGTCCCTCCAAAGAAATATTTGCATGTGTGTGTTTCTGTAGTATTTTTAAGCTTGTTAATTGAGTTGGATTTTCATTATTGTTTAGAACTTTATTTTCTGAAGCCCTTTCCAAAGCAGTGGATTGATAGTAAGCATGCAGTGCTCATTCACCCCTCCAATTTTCCATAGGTGTGAAACAAGCTTGCTGTGAATTTCTAGAAAGCCAGCTGGATCCATCAAATTGTTTGGGCATTCGGGATTTTGCTGAGACACACAATTGTGTTGATCTAATGCAAGCTGCAGAGGTCTTCAGCCAGAAACATTTTCCAGAGGTGGTTCAGCATGAAGAGTTTATCCTCTTAAATCAAGAAGAGGTTGAAAAGCTCATCAAGTGTGATGAAATTCAGGTAAAACCTGAAAAGTACCGTTACTGTGCAAAGCATTGAAGTAGAACATTGAAACCAGTCAGAAATTAGTCCATACTCTTAGGGTGGACTTCTCACACAGTTCCTGAATTTGAAATTTAATTTCCAAGAAGCTTCTTCTAATTTTTTAGCCATGTAATCTGAAATTAATCAGTAACATGTAGCTCCTGTGTAAGAATTTGTTGTCACACAAGTGTTTCTTGCAAGTAAGACAATCACAGTTAGTTACCTCTGCAGAATTCTTGTTCCCTTGTCTCCTCCTTTCCCTGGAGGAGCTTTCAGAGGTTACAAAGACAAGTTGTCTCAATGTCTACATTTCAGAAATACCCCCAAGACTTTAACTTCTATTTGTAGACCTTTGCATGCTACTCAGCAGCACAAGGAATGCACGTGTCATCCCAGGCATTTGGGTGTCCTTTGCTTTTACAAGCAGCAGAATGCATGATGGTGCAGGGTAGTCTGACTCTTCAGGGATTTATATGCAGATTTAGTTCCCTTAAGGTTGGTTGCTGGAGGATTTACTATTTGGCTGGAACCTGTCAAATACTTTTTTCCAAATTTGCTATGAATAAGTTGGGCATTTCTTGGTAATGGGGAGGGGACTTGATTTTTTTATTGAGATGGACTTTGTCGAGAGTTGATGTTTGCTTCAGTTCTAAAAGAAGTGATTGAAGCAATCACTATTCAGAGTTCACAGTAACATGAACTCTTAGAAGCAAACCACTGTAAATGATATCTTTGGTGGAATTCCTGAAAAGCCAATACAGGGGTAGAATTCTTGATGTTTGCCTTGAAAGTCTGCCTTGAAAGTGGCCTTCAGCCAAGCTGAAATCCTCTTGTTAATAAGCCTGCTTGAGAAAGAGCGTGCAAGACAGCAGTGAAAGACCCTGGCACAGGGCAAGATAAGCAGTGGAGAAAGGCTGAGTGTGTTTGGTGTTTAACAAGCCACAGCCTTAATGCTGTGAGGGTTTGAGCTTATGTGGGTTGTGGTGAGTACTGACATAACGCTTCTGGACAGTGAAGAGGAAATAATGAGGAACTTGAGAATGACCCAGCCAAACTAATCAGATGATCCGCACAGGCGAAGTAAAATTCATTGTGGATTGGAAGGACTGATTTAGGCCTTGCAGACACACAGTGAGGTGTGCATTCATTGTAATACCTTAAGAAGGTGAAGGGAGCAAATCTAGCTGTTGCTGTGCAGTGCAGAAGTGATGTGCTGTATCAGAGAGTACTGAGGGAGCACCCTTGGAAAATGCCCTGGCTGTTCAAGAAGTATAATGGCAGGTCCTCACTGTGATGCTGTGTTTAGTGTTACTCATCGTTTACCAGAAAACAGAAATTATTTCATGAACAACAAAACTTTTAAATATATCAAAGGACAGTCAGTTCAGGAGGGAATAAAACGATGTGGGATTATTGCATTTAAGGAGGAGGTGGAGAAAATTGGAAACGATGAAGTACTCTGCTCTCCTTTTGTGAGCTCTAATTGTCCTTTCTCTGTAATTCAAATAGAAAGAGGCCATTTCAAATTACACTGTAACAAATATAAATCAATGGCTTGGAAGAATTGCCTTACGTAATTAACCTCTGAGGCTCCCTGCTTCAGAACATTCTGCAACAGACAGCTTCAAACTGAACTTCAAAGTTTACCAGTCATATATCGGTGGAAGACTCAATCCTCTTACTACAGTATCTCCTTTTATCTTCATATTTAATAACAGTTAACAAACCTCATAATAATAAATTCATGTCTGATTTGCTTTTACGTTGGATGATCTAAAGATGTGCAAAAAGAAAACCAAGCCTAAATAATATATTTTACAGCTTTTTACAGTTCTTTTGCGTTTGGTAATCATAGATGTCCAAAGCACCTGAGGTTCTCTAAAAGTATCAAATTTTGATGGTTTAGTCAGTGTAATCTCTGGAAGTGGTGTAAGCACCAGCATGTGCTGGTCCTAAATGGAGAGAGAAATAAACTAGTCACAAAATAAAATGAACAGTAGAAATAAACAGTAATATTCATGCCCCATTCAACTCTGAAATCCAGTTGTTTATAGTTTCTTAAATGTGGATTGAAATTAAAAAAACCTTAAATGTACCTGGTATGGCTCGGATGTTAAAGGGGCAGTGCATGGGCACGGGGCTGCAGGGGATTAAGCGAGACACTGCTCCGTAAAAAGGAAACGTGATTCTGATCATCTTTATGATGGTACTTTGCATTTTGCAGGACCGTAACTCCTGCTCCGCTGAGAAGTCAGGGGAGCTGCCCTGCAAGTTACTGCCTGTCACTGGGCTCTCTCAAAAGTGGTGGCTCCCAGCCTCTGGCTCTGCTGCTTACCATAAAGCTCACTTTTCTGGCGCTCGTACTGCCAGTTGTTGATCTCAGCTGTAAGGAAAAACAAATGCAGTTTTAAGGAAAAGAAAACGAAGGAATTTCATAGTGCTTGTAAATACAGCTCATGGGAATTTCCATAAGACTTTTACTTGAAATGTCCCGCTCTCTTGCTAGCTGGGAAGCAGTGTCAACAGCTTGGAAGTTGTCCGTTCCATGGTAATAGCTGAAATATCGTCCTGCAGTCTGATCAGTGTGTGCCTCCTCTTTCCAGGTGGACTCTGAAGAGCCAGTTTTTGAGGCAGTTATAAACTGGGTGAAGCACTCAAAAAAAGAACGGGAAGCATCACTGCCAGAACTGCTGCAGTACGTGCGCATGCCACTTCTCACCCCCCGCTACATCACAGACGTCATCGACACCGAGGTATCCGCAGCCCGGGTCCATGGACACAGAACAGCTGGGAGCCAGTATCTGTGTATGATTGCCATGTTCCCTGGTTAGACTCCTGCTGTCCTAACAGAACATGTTAAAAGCTGCTTTCTCTGCTGATGCTTTTTGATGCTGACACTACGGAGTTGTCCCTGTTCAGCTCGAGTGCCCACTGTTTTACTCAGAAGTAGTTTGCTGTGTCAACAGTTACAGCATCCTGCTTTTCAGCTGGAAGGGCACCCCATCCAGAGCAGTTAGTCAGTTGTCTCCTGATATATGTAGCACTTTTCTGTTGTCATCTGTTACAGTTTTCTAACAAGTGCTTTCTGCCTTTCATTCGTAAGCGCTAGCAGGTCTCCTCTAGGCTGAAGGCTGCTGGCATGCGATCCTAGGGAGGAAATGGCTCCTCAGAAATTATTTCAGGTGCAGATGGCAAGCAGAAGGACAGCAGCTGTGTAGGTCCAGGGCCAACACACAAGTCAGAGCCATATCTAATGCTGCTCCTTTGTGTGGCTGGGGTGTTGCAGAGGCAAACCAAAATGTGGATGATCATAAGAGATAATTAAGCTTTTGCAATGGAATTTTAATTCCAAACAGGACGTGATGCTGACCCCATGCAAGGTTTGACAGGAAGGCACAGAGAAGTTCAAACCAGCATTCTGGTTTGATGGTGATGTGAGGTTATCAGTGGTTACTAGCCCTTGTCACCTGACAGGTGCTGAATGTTGAATGACAGACTTCTCTACACGGAGAAGTGGCTGTTTTAGCAACATTCATCTCTAATGTGATATAGCTGCCTTTTACAGATGTTCTAAATAAGGGCAGCTAACAGGCAGTTAGGTTGTGCCAGAGCTAAAATGTGTTTAGTCAGATTGTTTGGTCCACTTTAAAATGAAATTGAAGCTAACGTGAAAGGGACTGGTACCAAAACAATTAGATCTGTTCCAAAACTAGCCTAAGATAGTGTGTATACAGGGCCTCAGCTTTCTTACTGCACAGGCTGGCCTCTCCAGACTGGAGGAGACACACAGTGGTGGGATATCATCATCTTGGGACAGCATGGAGAGTAGAGTGTTGGCCCTGTGTGGCATCATCTGCTCTGAACAACCTGGCTGTCTTGCACAAGCACCAAGAACTTGTAAAAATAAATCTTAACTTATGGCAGCAGCATACAGCACCAAACACCCAAAGGGAACTGAACGCTGAGCATTCAGGGGAGCTTGGTCCAGGCCCTCAGCCAGGCAGGGTAATTACACAGCATTATGCAAGGAGGAGATGAGATGGTCCTTGGGCTGCAGTGCCCCCCGCTTCTTTTAAAGAAGACCTTACTGCTTCTGTAGTCTTTCATAGCTCTATGTCCCACGTGCACAGGGATCAAGCTAATAGATCCAGCAAAACTGCTTTGTTGTGCTGCGCTCCTTGTTTCTTCTTTGATGGCAGGTGCATGCTGAGATGAGGAGGAGATGAGATGATGAGGAGATGAGATGGTCCTTGGGCTGCAGTGCCCCCCGCTTCTTTTAAAGAAGACCTTACTGCTTCTGTAGTCTTTCATAGCTCTATGTCCCACGTGCACAGGGATCAAGCTAATAGATCCAGCAAAACTGCTTTGTTGTGCTGCGCTCCTTGTTTCTTCTTTGATGGCAGGTGCATGCTGAGAGTTGATTATATGGGGCAGATCCAGCCAAACTGATTTCAAGTGTAGTTTCACTGCCAGTCCCCCTTCTCAGACATATTTCTCCTGGCTTAAATGTAGCAGAAGTGGCTTTTCCTTAGTTTTCCAATATAGTTATTTTCATTATGGAACCTGCAGTGCCAGGCTTTGCATGAGAACTGAGCCATATCTTTTCAGCTGCAGTCCAGTCTTAACTTGTCTTTGCATTTCCTTGCATGCAGTATTTGCACCATGACACTACTAGCTACAGCCTGCACACAAGTAATTTTAATGCTGTCTGAACTGACGAGAGTTGGCTTTAGGACAGTTCTTATGAGGGATCTTAAAATACATTGCATGTACCAGTGACTCATGTTTTCCCTCAGCCTTTTATACGATGCAGTCTGCAGTGCAGAGACCTTGTAGATGAAGCTAAGAAATTTCATCTTCGGCCGGAGCTCCGGAGTCAGATGCAAGGACCCAGGACAAGAGCACGTCTAGGTGAGCAGCAAAGGAAAGGACACTGAGAAGGTCTGGGGCATTGGCAGGTATTGTGTTATACACCATGTCCAGTGCCTTGTAATTGCACTGAAGTGCTTCACAGCAGTAACTTGTTGATCCACAGTCCCCACTGGTACAGAAAGGGGATGGGACCAAAGGACAGAGGTACATTTTTTCCAGAGCACAATTGCTTAGGGGCAATGTGGGGACTAGGTGGTTGCCTTTAATCCCAGGCCCCTGCTGTAACCGTAAAGCCAGTTTCGTGAGTTGTTGGTGCCTCTAGATTTGTTTGTCTCAGTGTGCAGCTGTCCAAGAAGTGTGGGAAGAGTTTCTTCCTGTCTAAAAAGGCAGGTATCAGTGTCAGAAACAAAAAGAGCTGCGAGGTGAGAGACGGCTGTGTTACAGTGAAGATAAGTTTTCAACAGGGATCTCAGAGAGAAAGGCACAAGGAGGGAGATGGAGAGGTCCCTCTTTCCTTTCAGAGGTACTTTTTTGGGTTTTTTTCCCCCTAGTTTTATTAAGGCAAATAAATGATGATTTATTCCTCTTATTTCAGTAACTCCTACCAAGCACAGTCACTGAATTGTTGGGAAAATGCTTGGCTTAGGACTGTAAGCACTTGAGAGCAACATAAACAGTAGGAATGACCTGCAGAAGAAGTAAAGGTATTTTACTGGCTTCTTCATGACTGTGGCCGTTCCTCACCTGATGCCCCTTCTCTTATCTTCAGACTCGCTCTCTCTGGACTGTCTCTGCCATGCCTTTATCCCAGGCGCACTCACAGGGGACTGCAAGCAAACCTCCCTGCGTGTTCTCCAGTGCTGCTGTTTTCGTGGTGGAGAGGGACCCTGAAAAACCCTTCATGGCCATTTCCTGTTATTAACACTGTTTTAAGGGACAGAAAGCAGTTTATCCACTAAAGGAGGAGGGCAAATTAGGTTTGTCAGAGAGACATATTGATTAGATTTTTTGGCCTGAAGGGAATGTTGTTATGATGTGGTTTGACCACCAGCGTAGTCCAGGCCACAGCATGTCTCCTGTTTTTCTGGGAACATCGTACATAGGTTTCAATGACATGCAGTTCAGCTCAACCTGTCATTTTAGAAAGACACATTTCATTTTGTTCTTAGTTGAAATGCTTCACCTAATAAAGGAGACATCACAAAACTGGTTTATTGTTTAATTATACGGGCAAAAACTGTGCAGCTTATTGCTAAGGTTCATCTTCTGGATTCAACCCTACCTTTTTTACTTGATTCAATATCATCTGCTATCAGCGATGCTCTTATCATGTGTCACTTACAAACTTTGATCAAATTGTGTATTAACTTTCTATGGGATAAATTGAAACGATTGCACTTTTAGCTGTCACACTGTACAGGAGGCTTTCCAAGCTGTTGTTGGAGCTCTTTTGTGAATCCTTCATAGTTATTTTTTATATTATTCACCTTTATCTGAGGTGGCAGCTGTTTTGCTTTGTGACAGACAGGGTCTCGTTAAATCTTTGTTGCTCAGTGTTCAGTCCTTCTGCAATGAAAAGCTGGACAGTAAAACTCCCTGTTGCAGAAAGGGCCCAAGGGATTCAGGGGATGCTCGTCTGTTTTTAAAACTGTCATAGAAACCTACCTCTAAGGCAATCATTACAAGGAAAGTAAGAAAAATTTGGGGACAGTCTCAGAGAAAAGAAAGTAGAGGGAAGGCAACTTTGAAATAAAATACATAAGATTTAAGAGACAATTCCTCTGAAAATATTTCATTAATTTTTCAGGCTTCAGTCAGCCTGACTTGTTTCTCAGTGAAATGGTGAACAAAGGTGCCTGGATGTCTTTTGCAAATGAGGGGAGAAGGCCCTGTTTTGTGAGGAGGCTGCAGGGAAGCAGCCATGCTACTTCAGCTTTCATGTGGTGGTAAGAGGTTTGAAAAAAAAAAAATCGTAGAAAGAATACAAAAGAAGATATTATCAAGCCAACTTCAGCACCTAACTTAGCCAGCTTGTCTCTCAGAGTCCCTCTAACATTAGGAGGAACAGCCCTCCAGCAGACAGCTCCTAACACCTGAGTTAATCTTACTGCCTCGCGCCCTGGAAGAGTTTCTCTCTCTTCTTCCCCGGATTTAGAGGTGACTTGTTGCACCAAGGAAGGCTCAGAGATTCTTCAGGTGACTCCCTTGAGGTGACCCTTTGGTTGTGAAGGGATTGACTTGACTTTGCTCTCCCTCTTTGCTCTAGGAGCTAATGAAGTCCTGCTTGTGATCGGTGGCTTTGGCAGCCAGCAGTCACCTATTGATGTTGTGGAGAAATACGACCCGAAGACTCAGGAGTGGAGTTTCTTGCCAGTAAGGGACCATTTTTGGCCACCACTGGGTTGAACAAGCTGTGATCAAACACTGATCGTGTAGCATCAGCTATATAACATTCTTCTTTGGGCTATCCTTTGAGTTCTGCTTGGAATTTCTGCCATAAATTCTTTAGAGTTGCTGAGGTTTACATAGCGAATGCTGAAACCACTTCACGTTTGCAGATTGGCTAAGTAAGCTTTGTTTAAGAGGCGATTGTCATATTTCTAATCAGATGAGCCTACAGAGACCCACATCTTTGTTGTGGGAGCGAGAGCTATCATGTTTCTATTGAAGGGGTGTTAAGCTTTAAGGTTAGTGATGATAATTGAAATGTCGATAGGAATAGTATAATCAGTCCTGCTTTCAGGCAGGCTGCATGATCTCTCTGGTTTCATTATTTCTGAGCATAGTGGGCAATAGTAAGGAAGAGAGAATTTCTGCACTGAGGACTATTTCTACCCAAATTTAAAATCACCTTTATCTATGTGAAATGGTGGAGAACTGCCTCTTTAAGATGCTAATCACAGAAGATCCTGTATCACCTGGTGTCCCAAAATTCTGTTCTTTTTTGGAGGCTAAAAGCTTCAGGTATTTTAATCAAATATTCCGAGTCTCCACATTTTCCCATTAACAGTCTCTGCAGGGAGCTAGTGGGAGGCACACAAACCCCCAAGATGCATCAAAGATTCATAGCAGCGTAAGATAAATGATATTTAATGCAAAATATTTTAGTGCAAAGAGGCCTGGCCGTGAGAAAAGAGCATGGCAGAGAGAGAGTACAGGCAGAAGAAGGCAGAGGCAGTCGTTAAGTATTTTAGCCAGGGCTGTATCCTTTAAATCCATAGTGCTGTTTGCCTCTGTGGTAGTGGGCCATTTTCCAAAAGAACGGCAAAAGAGGATGGAAGAACAGCAGTTGGTCTCCATGCATCAGTGCTATTTCCTCTCCTTGACCTTTTTATTCCTTTTACTGTTTTAGAGCATCACCCGTAAGAGGCGTTACGTTGCTACAGTGTCCCTGCATGATCGGATCTATGTGATTGGGGGGTATGATGGTCGCTCTCGTCTCAGTTCGGTGGAGTGCTTGGATTATACATCAGATGAGGATGGTATCTGGTACTCCGTGGCTCCGATGAACGTACGGCGAGGCCTGGCAGGAGCCACAACCCTTGGAGGTACGTCCTGGTCACCTACTGACAGGGCAGTACAGCCTGTTCAGTTCTCATCCTGAAATGCCCTGAGCTGGTATGTGCAGAGTGGGATGGCTCCGAGGGAGGAGGTGAGTCTGAAATTCTGGCTTCTCATCATTTGGATGTAGAAATGGAAAACTTGCCCACATATCCTGAGAGGAGCTCTGCCTCCGCTTCATTCTTACGGCATGTGTCTGTGCATCGAGGAAAAGGAACTCTGTGAGGGATTATTGAGTGGGAAGCTCTCAGGGTGGTGACAGTGTCACGTATTACTGAACACAGGACACCAAATACAGCAATAACCATCCAGCATTGGAGAGAGGCTGAAACTGGAGTAGAGGAGAATTCTTAGGACAGACTTGGAAGAAGAAAACTACTTTACTGAGCAAACCAGAACACTTCAGCTTGCTTATGCTGGCAAAGCAAAGGCCAAGAGGGAATACGATTGTTCTCTATGAGTATAACTTGGCATGAAAAGGAAATGGGCAATATAAGAATTGAATAAGAACAAATGGTTATAAGCAGGCCAGGAATCGAAGAGTATTGATTAAATATTATTCATTTAGATTGTTAATAATCTACTCTAATGAAAATTCTCTTAAAAATGCAGCTGCTTTGAAGATGACAGATTTGTGAAAGTGTTGCATGAATTAGGTTATCCAGTATAGGGGACTGATCTTGATGATCCAGACATGTCTTTTGGATGTTCTTTCCTTTTGCTACCTGTGTGTTTACGACCTTGTAAGCATTTACTGTGGGGAGGTGCTGACAGGATGCTAGTGATAGGCAGGGTTTGGGGAAGGCAGTTTTTCAGTAGGTTCTGCACCATGAAAAAAATAACTGGGGTGTGCATGTTCTCTTTCATCCATCAGCAAGAAGCAGATTTAAGGGCCAGATGGGTTTTATGTTTGTTTAGTTTGTTGGGTCTGTGAGCAGTCAGCTAGGGTGAGGAGGCTGGGTTTGTCTTAGCTTCGAATGTGCCAAGAACTGTAGTTGTTCCTGTATTTTGCAGTCCATGTTGTAGGCTTGCTCCATCTGTGAGGGCCTTCTTGCTTCATGTGTGTGCTTGATACTTGACTTGCTGAGTCCAACCTCTGTCTAACATTGCAGACATGATCTATGTTTCTGGTGGGTTTGATGGAAGCCGACGTCACACCAGTATGGAACGATATGACCCGAACATTGATCAGTGGAGTATGCTGGGAGACATGCAGACAGCACGGGAAGGAGCAGGGCTTGTTGTAGCTAATGGAGTTATCTACTGCCTCGGTAGGTACCTTAGGACCTCTAGGCATTCTGCAAATACTTGCTTTTTACAGAAATGACAGTGCAGATGCTGTCTGTGGGGAGCACCAATAATTTCATATCCAGGTTAGAAGAGAAGATTTAACTTCACTGCACTGGGCACTGCACAGCTCTGTCAGCGAATGCAGCCTGTGCTCACCATTACCATCATAGAATCATAGAATCATTAAGGAAATGCAGCCTGTGCTCACCGTTACCATCATAGAATCATTGAATCATTAAGGTTGGAAAAGACCTCTAAGATCATCAAGTCCAACTGTTAACCCAACACCACCATGCCCACTAAACCATGTCCTTAAGCCCACTAAACCATGTCATCTACACGTCTTTTAAATACTTCCAGGGATGGTGACTCTACCACTTCCCTGGGCAGCCTGTTCCAAGGCCTGACCACTCTTTCAGTAAAGAAGTTTTTCCTAATGTCCAGTCTGAACCTCCCTTGGCGCAACTTGAGGCCATTTCCTCTCGTCCTATCGCTTGTTACTTGGCAGAAGAGACCGACCCCCACCTCGCTACAACCTCCTTTCAGGTAGTTGTAGAGCAATGGCTTAGACTGGAGCTGCCATATAACTAGAGTAAGTGCTGTCAGAAGCAAATTGGACACAATCAGCCTACATTTGAGGGATGTCTGAAGCACGGGGGATAAGCAGTGCCAGCTGAGGTTTGCAGGGTCTAGGCAGTGGCTGAGATGCCCTAGAGATGAAGCAGATAGCCACAGGACAGAGGGTGCATCTGCTCCACACAAAGCAATGTTGGCTGTAGCACTCCATAAATATATCCTGAGCTGTATGAGTTCCAGCTCCTTTCTGTAGCACTCGTATCATTTTCAGAGACCCATGCCAGCTGTGAATACGGTGAGAGTGCTAGAGGGCAAAGAATTCAGTAAGCTTGTTTTGTAGATACACCTTCTGGGCCCCAGAAAAGGCAGGCCCATCACTGTACCCACATTTGTTACAGTCCTGTTCCTGGGGAGTCACAGATACTGGACACTGGTTTATGGGTTTCGCTTCCCTCTCCCAAATTCCTCTTCCTCACACTGTCCCCCGAGGCAGATGCCAGCACGCTGCTCCTTTGCTGAAGCTGCACAATTAGTTTTCTTGGTATATCCTCTTGTGAAACAGCTCTTTGAGACATCCCAGACTACACTGTGTAGCCTCATAGCATCAGTTGGCGGCTGCAGCACACAGCCCCTCAGCCAGTGCCAGGTCTGGAAGCTGCACATCTGCTTTAGCAGGATGGCATCAGCATTGGCATCAGCATGCTCAGGGCAGCTTTGGGCAGTGTGGTGCTAACCTGGTTGTACTGGTTTGGAGAGGTGATGCTCTTTCTCTGCAGTGCAGAGGCAGAGCTTGCTCTGAGCTGGCTCTGGTCTGGCATTGCAAGCTACAGAGATCCTCTTTGTTCTGCCAGCCCCGGCACGTTGTGAGTTGTGCTGATTGCTGTGCAACACTGTACTAAGGATGAACCAGGCATGTTATTGCTCTCTACACAGGAAACATTTTCCAGAAGTCAGACCCATGGTTTGCTCCTCTATTTTGTTTCAGGTGGCTATGATGGGCTGAACATACTGAATTCTGTAGAGAGGTATGATCCCCACACTGGACACTGGACAAATGTCACCCCAATGGCCACTAAGCGCTCAGGTAAGAGCCCACAGTGCCTTGAGGTCAAAATGTTTTGTGCTGCACTGAGGAAGCAGCCACTGCTGGCTTGTCCTGCTGCCCTTGAGGATGTTGACTCGCAAAAGTGGGTGGTTTGACTTTGAGAAGGGATGATTTTAGGACATACTGACTTAACTCCCCGAGAGAAAGATTAATTTTCACATGCCTGATGTCTCCATCTCATGTTAATGTGTGTATAGAGGAATGTGGGTATGGGTTTGTAGGTTACAGGGAGGGAGAGGAAGTCTTGTGTGACTTCCATAACTAGGAACAGTGCACAGCTTGGAGAAAAGCTAGCATGGAACAAACTACAGACCATAGTGCAAGATAATGGGACAGTTTGCTAAGTCGGTGCTCGTCAGCTGCACAGGACACGGCGAAGGCAAGAGTGCTCTGGCAGGCTGCTCCTTCACCTGCTCTCCAGTTTGTGAAATGCTAGGCATCAGCTCCTGGGGCAGCACTAACGCAGGGGGCAGCACTGCCAGAGCAGTGTCATGCTGCAACAGTCTTATGCTAATGACTTGAAACATGGTGCAGTCACACATTAATTACCCACCACCAACTTTTAGTTTGTCTTTCCTGCTTGGTGCCCTATCTGAGCTTTAAGTTTGGCAGCTGTATCTAGGAGAAAAATATAGTTTAAATCCTACTTTTGGAGTGACTTCCTGTCTCAGTTCTCCTTCATTTCTCAAAGGAGTTCCTGTGGTGATTGTGCAGCTCCTGTGTGCTCAAGTGTTGGCCCTCTGCTATTGCACTGCACCTCAGGCCGCCTGCCCCAGACCTTCATGGCTGGGCTAGCAAGCAGCCATGGCCTTGCTCAGCTGTGTGTGGATGGGCAGGATGCTCAGTGCCTCCACAGCTTTGTGGTTCTCGATGGAGTAGTTCTGATGTGCTTACAGGCCCTCTTTCAAAACTCTTTTGAAGTTGCTCTTTCTCTAGTTCTTTCAATAAATGTCCTTTACAATTAGCCTAGGCAGCATTGTTTCTGTTTGTTCTCTGCTGCAGAGTTCTTGTTGAGGGACAAGTACTGGTTACTCAATCAAAACTGGTCTCTGTTCTAAAAACATTTAAGCTTTCTTGTGTCTGCAATGGCATTCACCAAAACCCCGAGCTTTAAATATTTACTCCTGTGACAGGGCTATTCCTGTTAAGTGTGGGTTGGAAAGTATTTCCCATATGCCAAGAATGGATTTGATTTAGAAGTTGGTCGCTGTCCACATCCAGGAAGACCCCACATACAAACACGTGATAAAATCTGTGGCTTTTCCTATGTCAGAGGGAACACGCGAGATGTATCTGCAGATGTCTAGAAAGCTTAAAGACAAGACGGCTTTCCCCCAAGGGGTCTGTTGTGTGCACAGAGAAGATGGCTTCTGGCAAGACCAAAAGCAAAGAGTTCAAGGGGAAAGCCTTTTATAAGAAGCATTTCCCAGGTCCATGCTAGCTTCCCACAAGACTTGGAGGCTTTTGGTAGCAGTGCCTTGGCCCACAGAGCAGGCTCCTCAGTGCCACAAGCGAGCAGGAACATTGTGAGGCTCTTGACCCCAGCACTGACTCAGCCAGGTTCCTTCCTCAGTGCTGCGACCTGGAGCACTGAGGTCTGAAATGGGGCTATGCCCAAGAACGTTTTTTGGCCCAGGTTTTTGTGCTGCCACTCTGTGGTACTAACTACTAGTACGAACTACTAGTAGCTTAGATACCAGTTGCACTTGCAATCTCCATCCTGGTATCAGTTCCAGTCCATCCATCCTGGTGACTGTGGACCCTTCTTTTGCCCCAAGAC